AAATTCACTAAAATCTGGCCTAACATATTTGAGAATCAAACAGTCAAGAATAATAGGCTAACTATTATTCAACATAGTTTTGGAAGTTTTAGCCACAGCAATCAGAGAAGAAAAAGAAATAAAAGGAATCCAAATCAGAAAAGAAGAAGTAAAACTGTCACTGTTTGCAGATGACATGATACTATACATAGAGAATTCTAAAGATGCTACCAGAAAACTGCTAGAGCTAATCAATGAATTTGGTAGAGTAGCAGGATACAAAATTAATGCACAGAAATCTCTGGCATTCCTATACACTAATGACAAAAAATCTGAAAGAGAAATTAAGGAAACACTCCCATTTACCATTGCAATTAAAGAATAAAATACCTGGGAATAAACCTACCTAAGGAGACAAACGACCTGTATGCAGAAAACTATAAGACACTGATGAAAGAAATTAAAGATGATACAAACAGATAGAGAGATATATCATGTTCTTGGATGGGAAGAATCAACATTGTGAAAATGACTAGCTATACTACCCAAAGCAATGTACAGATTCAATGCAATCCCTATCAAACTACCACTGGCATTTTTCACAGAACTGGAACAAAAAATTGCACAGTTTGTATGGAAACATAAAAGACCCCAAATAGCCAAAACAATCTTGAGAACGAAAAACGGAGCTGGAGGAATCAGGCTCCCTGGCTTCAGACTATACTACAAAGCTACAGTAATCAAAACAATATGGTACTGGCACAAAAACAGAAATATAGATCAGTGGAACAGGGTAGAAAGTCCAGAGATAAACCCACGCACATATGGTCACCTTATCTTTGATAAAGGAGGCAAGAATATACAATGGAGAAAAGACAGCCTCTTCAATAAGTGGTGTTGGGAAAACTGGACAGCTACATGTAAAAGAATGAAATTAGAACACTCCCTAACACCATACACAAAAATAAACTCAAAATGGATTAAAGACCTAAATGTAAGGCCAGACACTGTAAAACTCTTAGAGGAAAACCTAGGCAGAGCACTCTATGACATAAATCACAGCAAGATCCTTTTTGACCCACCTCCTAGAGAAATGGAAATAAAAATAAACAAATGGGACCTAATAAAACTTCAAAGCTTTTGCACAGCAAAGGAAACCATAAAAAGGATGAAAGGACAACCCTCAGAATGGGAGAAAATATTTGCAAATGAAGCAACTGGCAAAGGATTAATCTCCAAAATATACAAGCAGCTCATGCAGCTCAATATCCAAAAAACAAACAACCCAATCCAAAAATGAGCAGAGGACCTAAATAGACATTTCTCCAAAGAAGATATACAGATTGCCAACAAACACATGAAAAGATGCTCAACATCACTAATCATTAGAGAAATGCAAATCAAAACTACAATGAGGTATCATCTCACACCAATCAGAATGGCCATCATCAAAAAATCTAGAAACAATAAATGCTGGAGAGGGTGTGGAGAAAAGGGAACCCTCTTGCACTGTTGGTGGGAATGTAAATTGATACAGCCACTATGGAGAACAATATGGAGGTGCCTCAAAAAGCTAAAAATAGAACTAACATACAATCCAGCAGTTCCACTTCTGGGTATTTATCCAAAGAAAACAAAAACACTAATTTGAAAAGATATATGCATTCCTATGTTTACTGCAGCAGCATTTACAATAGCCAAGATATGGAAGCAGCCCAAGTACCCATTAATAGAGGGATGGATAAAGAAGATGTGATGTACATACATACAGTGGAATATTACTCAGCCATACAAAAGAATGAAATCTTGCCATCTGTGGCAACATGGATGGACCTGGAGGGTATTATGCTAAGAGAAATAAGCCAGATAGAGAAAAACAAATACCGTATGACTTCACTTATATGTGGAATCTAAAAAGCAGAACAAACGAACAAACAAAACAAAACAGAAACAGACTCAGAGATACAGAGAACAAACTGGTGGTTGCCAGAATGGAGGGGGCATGGGGGAATGAGTGAAATAGGTGAAGGGGAATAAAAGGTACAAACTTCCAGCTATAAAATAAATGTCACAGGGATGTAATGTACACGTACGGAATATAGTCAATAATATTATAACAACTTGTATAGTGATCGATGGTAAGTGGACTTATTGTGATGATCATCTCATATAAAAATATCAAATCAACATGTACACGTAAAACTAATATAATATTGTATGTTAATTATAACTCCGTTTTTAAAAGATGAATTAGGCCCTATGATCTGCCTTTGAGCTTCTGAAACGGACCCTGAAGACCAGCTGTGCAAGCCTCTTTTTTTAAAAAAAAAAAAAAATTTTATTTATTTATTTTAGCTGCGCCGGGTCTTAGTTGAGGCACGCGGGATCTTTTAGTTCTGGCATACAGGATCTTTTAGTTGCCGCATGCGGCCTTCTTAGTTGCGGGCATGTAAACTCCTAGCTGTGGCATGCATGCAGGATCCAGCTCCCCCACCAGGGATCAAACCGGGTCCCCTGCGTTGGGAGCGCAGAGTCCTACCCACTGGACCATCAGGGAAGTCCCTGCAAGCCTCTTTATATAGATAGGAAAACTACCAACTTTGGGTTACTTTGTGAATGATCCTCTATGACTTAAATTGATGGTGTGATAGATCAGAAAGAAATGCAGTTTGAATAGAGCTTTGAGTCTGAGGCTCCTTTCTTAGAGCAAAATGTTAGCCTCCGAAAAGGACTTTTAGATTTTGGGTAACACGAAAGTAGCTTAGTTACATCAAGATGGCTATCATAGCAGTATTCATTAAAATGGAGTTCTACTTTGTTGAGCTTGTTAAACAGGAATCTCAACCAGCATCCAAAAAGGGCAAGTTTTACCTGTTGGAAACTACTGAGGCACTGAGACACAGTGCCATTCCCTGGGCACCCTGTGGCTTTGAAACCGTGACCACTGTACTTCCATTAAAGTGACATTTCTTGACCACAAACTCTTACTGAATTCTGACATCAGTGTTAGTAAATAAAGTAAAGCTTCTATGTAAGCTTTTTTGAAAAGGAAAAAACAGGAAAGTGTAAATAGCATATGCATAGGATTCTTAATATTTTGACTTATTCTAAATTCTAACACTTGAAAAATAAACTAAAATAGAATACTAAGTTAAGTAATTGAGACAGATATATCCATACTCCAAAATTTAGCTTGCACAGTCCCTTCATACAGACATTCTAAGTCTGTAAATTTAAGTTTTAAAGCAGGTGGAAGCTCTTCAGTGGCGACTTAACAGACGCCATAAAATGTAGAAAACTGAAGTACTGTATTAGTGTATCTAGAAGTTTTGTGTAATGAATTCCAGAAACCATACCAAACCTTGGGCCAATTACTGAAAGCCAGAAATCTCACTGTGGATCCTCTTGTAAATGTGTGTGGCGGTACACTTCACAGTCTACACAACACGAACATGTTGAAATCAGTATTTTTGTGCTGACCCAAACCTGACCCAATACAAAATCTCTCATACCAGAAATTTAATACTTCCGATAGCCAGATTGCTCTCTCATTTCTTTTTCACCTTTCTGTGCCTTTCATATGTTCTTCCAGTTGGTTAATCATTAATTAATATTTAATGAGCCTTTTTCCCAGTGCCAATTCCTTCTCTGCTAGTGTAGCCTTTAGACAGTATATGAACTCCCCTCTTCTGCCCATTCAAGAAGCGCCGGCACTCACTGTAGGTTAATTTCCCTAAGGAAATTCATAATAGCAGATGAAGTGAGGGTTCCTTGAAAAGATCATTCGATTTTCAGGCCACTCTTGTTTTTGGCCGCGCCCTGAGGCATGCGGGATCTTAGTTCCCTGACTAGGGATGGAACACGTACCTCCTGCATTGGGAGTCTTAACCACTGGACCAGGGAAGTCGCAGGCCACTCTTAATTTAGCAATTTTCGTAGTGCATATAAAATGAGAAGTAAGTGAACCAATTTTTAATTCTTAAAAAACTTTCCAAGCACACATTTCCTGAACAAAATGGTTGTGACTGAAACAGGAAAGGGCTTAGCCTTTCTCTTCTACAGCTGTGCCACAAGCCAGTCTCTTGACCTGACCAATGTGAATCCGTCAGACTCTGGTCCTTGGAGCTGATTTTGGACCTGGAGTGAGCCAAAGGATTGGAATGCACAATAAGGAAGGGAAACCTCCGCGTGTATTAATGAAAGAGGTCAATTATGACACAGAGGCCAAGAAGAAGAAAGGGTCCTCTGGGAAGCAGAAGCATGTCTCCAAGTTTTCTCTGGTGAAAGGAGACTGATGGAAATTGACATCCATTTCCAGTCAAACGAGTGGGAACCACGTTATTTCCACCTTCCCTTCCCACCTCCACCTCTCATTCCTTTCCGCATGGACAAACAGACCAGACAGGTGATTTTGGTCAACAATTTACTTGGGCACGAAGCCAAAAACATGAGAGCCTCGTCCTGTCCATATATCTGCTCCCTAGACCTCGTTGGAAAGGGAAGATTGCTGAGGTTTTCCCTCCGCATTGCTCCGCACGCAGGCTGATTGGAGCAGGAGAAACTAAGTACTAGTATTACGAGTCCCTTCCCATGCCGAGATTCTCTTTACGATTCTGGGTTGAAACTGTACTCTCCAGAGACTTAAATAGGGGCTTGGTGACGTTCAAACTCTCGCTCCAACATTCTCATCTCTTCGTTTATTCCATACGAGTTTTTGGAAAGTGGTCCCCGAGCCAGGCTCTGAGGACTTCTAATCTCTTCATAGCCAGGGAGGGGAAGAAACAAGAGCGGAGGACCAATCTCCGCTCCCAGCAGCAGAGTTACAGTCCCCATCCCTCCAGGGCGCCCATGCCGGTGCCTATTCTCCCAACTCCCCACCCAGTTGATGTGACAGGCTCGTGGCCCAATCCCCTTCCTGGTTCCCAGCTGACTGCTAGCACCACCGGAGCCAATGGCGGCGGCCGAGGGGCGGAGGGGGCTGGCAGGAGGGGAGGGAGCGCTGGCTTTAGAACCACAGCCGCAAAAATTCCGAGCGGCAGAAGTTGTCTGAGTGCGTCGGTTGGAGGCTGTCTGGCCAGATCCGGTACTCTGCGACTTTATGTAAGTGCTCTGCAGGCGCGGGAGGGCACGAGGGGAGCGGGATCCCTGGGCGTGGGCATGAGTGGGTCCAGGAGAGAGCATCTCCGGGAACCTCGGCAGGAACGTGCCTGGCACGGGAGGCGGGGGACTGAGAGGGAGGCTGCAGAAATTTCTGTCCTAGACCTTGGGCGCCAAAGCGATCGTTCGCATCAAGGACGGGTGGGAGTGACCGAGTGTTCCCCACGACCACCGCCCGCCGCAAACACGTTTTCTGCTTTTCACTGGAGAGATGGTGCTTTCTCACTAGTTGCTCTTAACTTGTTGCCAAACTTGGGCTGGAGTCCTTGACGCCAGCCCTTGCCCTTCTCCCCTTGCGTGGCGGCGGCCCCGAAGTGGAAACCAAGCGCCTAACTTCCCTCTGTCGTCCTTCTTCAGCTACTGCCACCCTCCTCCCCCCCCCCCCCCCCCCCCCGGTCCCGGCGACGCCTCCGGCCCCCGCTAGCCCTCCTCGGGTGACCTCACGGGCTCACCCCGGCCCCCGGGCTCCACGGGGTGCGGTGGCCCGGGGAAGGAACGAGGCTCTGGTTGCCTGCCTGCCGCCTGCTTCCCTTACCATTAGCGAGCGAATCGCTATCGCACCGCGTCTCCCTATGAGTAAGCACTTTTTTCCTTTCTGTAGCAGGACATCTCCGGGCCATTAGGGCAGTACCTTTCCGTTCTCCTCTCCTCACATCCCGCGCCGCCCGTCTGCTCCCTTCTCAGTTCCTCTGGCTCTGCAGCCTCGAGCGCGCGGTCGGGGCAGCGGCCGCCCGGCACCTCCCGGGGCTCCTCTGGAGGCAGAGCCGAAGGGGCGGGGGGCGAGGGCAACATCCCCTCCTCCCACAGAGCTGCACTTGCCGGTGTTTACATTTCCCGACTCGCAGTACTTAGCTGTCTAATGAGAGGCCGGGGGACGCCGACCACCCCCGCCCGGGCTTCTCGCCAGTCCCAGAGTTGCCGCCGCCGCTGCTGCTACTTGCTCTAATGTGCTGGCGGCTCCGACGGCCAGGCTCCAGGGCAGACGATCCCAACCTGGGAGGTGGAGTGGGCTTAATGCTTTCTGACATTTCCTGTACGCGACGCAGATTCTTGCTCCACACCCTATCTGCACAACATGCCGGGTGGTACTCAAGGTTGAGTTTAGAACTAACTGGGTTGGAGAGCCTCGCCATTTAGGATCAGACAGACGGGATGCTCGGGGTGCCCGACCTGTTACCAGGGATGGGGGGTGGGGAAGAGAGCCTGGCTGGCTGCACAGTAGGTAGAAAACCTAGGTGAAATTTAAAACTACTGAGACGTAAGCGCACACTCCACTTTACAGGATGTCACAGTGTATTTGGGAGCTTAAACTTGATCCTGAAGAACCAATTTACAGTGAATTCCAACGTAGTGGCCGAAGCCCCACATATGTCAATTGGCATCACGTGCCCCAAGTCTCTGATGCCCCTAGGGTAATGGTCATATGACTTCTTTTGACTTTAAAACTGGAATGTAATGGCTGAAGTTCATTTTCCCAAAACTACCGTGACAAAGAAGGGGAGGGGGCGGTGTCAACTAGCCTCTACTCAAGGGAGTTCTACTTGGATTTGGATGAGGGGAACAGAAAGGGAATTTGGTGCTCAGATTTTATCCAAAATAAAAAACAGAAGCTGTTTTTAAAATAAGTGCTTGAAATATGTTTGTGCTGGGATATATATCTCCCCTGTGGCCCTTCAATCTAGTTATGGCTTTTCTAAATTTTAAAAATATCTTACTAATTATTTTCTAGAAAAATCGTCCATTTATTCATGCCCTATTTCATTCCTAAATGATAGATTTGAAGCCATATCCCATAAGATAGTGTTTTTTAAAAAATTAGGCTTTGTCCATGTCCCTGGGTCTGGCCTATATTCCAGTTGAACTGTTCTCTATATTAGGCATCTGCTTGAAGGTGGTGGATAATCTCTTGGCTAAAATTAACCATCAGTTATTGTGGTTTGGAATTAATTGGATCAGAAATCAGGCAGGAAAACAGTGGACACTAAATTTAAGAAATCGAGCTACTTGGGTTTTTACCTGTCAGTACTTTAGTAGAATAATGAGAGGCCACAGAAACAACTCCCATAATGACCAATACCCACCCAAGTGGCCCAAGTTAAGGTTGCTGTTGGAAAAACATGCAGATTATATATTGCAGAGTGTAGAAATGGGCAGAGGAATCTCTGAGGTTGAGAGTTTAAAAGCTTTACTTATTTACAAAAATGGATCCAGTTGATACGTATTCAGTCTTGAAAACAACTAGGGCAGCTAAAAATGAAACTGGGAATATTTAAGAGATTTTGGCTTTGTATGCTTCAGCCAAAAATCCTTGTCTACTTACTGCAGCAACCTCTGAATGACTTGAGCACTACATTTTCATGCAGTGCATGGGTTTCTGAGCCTAAAAACTAGGACAACTTTAAAGCACATAGTTCTGACCACAAGGCTAGCCTTGCGGCACAGATTAGCTGGAAGTGGACTCAAACTGCACCTGAGTTAATTGGAGTTAACTACACTGGTAGATAGACCCCCCTAGTGGAAGAGAGGTGATAATATAATTTTAGATGGAACTCCTAACAAGTATTTAACCTTAAAAAAAAGAAGAGCACAACTATCCAACTAGGTTAAAGTGGTAGGGATTTAAGTTCTTTTTAAAATAGTATTAACTCATGTCAAAACAGGATCCTCACTAGGCTCTCCAACCAGTCTTTCATTGTCTCGGTGTGTCCACTCATTTACAACTACTGACTTCATTTTTTAGTCATATGATCTAATGAACCCAGGCTTTCATTAAAATTAGAGGATTATGAGTCTAATTCTTAATTTCTACAATTAGATCTAGAAAGTTATCAGACTCTTTACCTGGGGTGGGAGAGCCAAATAAATTATGCTCTGCCTTGATTTAACACAGACAATCAACACTGAGGTCCAAGGTCTCTAGTCTAGTCTGATGCCATCATTTAGAGTCAATTGCTAAAAATGTCTAGGCTTAATGCATTTTGGGTAGAAGGATTAATTATAACTAGTGAGTAATATTTGGGTTGAGATTAAGTCTCTTCTACCAATGGTTACAAGCACATTAGACTTGACTGTGACTGTTTAGACTGGCAGAATGTCAATATCCAGGGCACTATTAGGAACCCCATGAAATTTTGCTCCTAGGCAAACAGCGTGACTGTTACAGAAAAGAAGGGGGTAGTAACTTGGCGGTGGTGCCTGAGCACTAAGGAGATACTGTATGGTGAAACTGATGACAAAAGGAAGAAAATTCACTTGCCATTTTTCCATATTCTGTTTTAAGCATTTCTACTTGCCTTTCCAAGAAATTTACTGACATAATATTCTTAGCACATAAGATAAATTCATGAATTTGCTATTGCTATAATCTAGGTGGAATGAATACGCCAAACTGTTTGTGTTTGCTGTTTAGTACAGATTCCAAAAGTAGCTGGTATAAAATTGAAAACGAACATCTATCAATACATGAAAACTTGGCTAACTGTTTTTGGAATCATTTTGTACTTGCTCATGCTCTTTTGGTGAAAAGTAATCCAGAGGGGGAAAGTTGAATCTGTGAAAATAATAAAAGTCAGTTTAGAAGAAAACAGCTAGATCATGTTTTGAGTCTGTAATTATTCTAGAGAGTGACACACCATATGATGTATGTTCATTGTGTTGGAGGTTTCAGAAGCTTTTTTGGATACATTATACTGTTGGAAGGTCTTTTAGATAGCAGTGGTCATGACTAGCTGTTTTTAGTGATGAGAGCTTTGGTTAAAATTATGGCCTAGAAATATAAAAAAACTGTCTGATCATGAAATGTCAGTCTCAGGAGAAGATCTGCTAATACTTGGGCCAATGGTAGTTATGGAGGTGAGACAGTTTCCAAAAATTCAATATGCTTAATAACATTGAATTTGCTCTATTCTTAGCACTTGAAAGATAAGTATTGGTGAGTATAAACTGTTTTAGGGATGAAAAGGCTTTGCTGTTAAATGAAAATTACAATGCTAAGGGGGACGTATGTTGGACTTGCTTCAGAAGAACTAGATTCTAGACATGGCTCTGCCACTGACTCATAGTTTGACCTTGAGAAAGTCACAAGATTATTATATTGATACTTAACATTGAGTACATACATGTGCCAGACACCACGCATTTTCTCAATTATAAAATAAGGGCATGGCTCAAGGATTTTGGTCTGCTGGGATTTTTTTTTTCTTTTATAAGATATATCTTTTATATAGATATAGTCTGGCTTACTTCAGTTATATTTATCAGTTGATTTTTTTCCAATTTTAATGCAACTATATTGAACCAAGCTAAATACCTTGTAGGCAAATTGGTGACTCTCCAGTCACCAGTGGCTTATTCTGTGACTAATGTTATTTCTTTAAAATATAGAGGTACCATTTATATCATTCCTTATCAAGGATTTTTGGCGCATTAAACTTACTGATTTTATATTATGACAAAGCTTAATTTCTCTTAACGGTCTAGAAATATGTTTGATGATAAGGAGGTAGTGGTGTTTATTGGAAAAGGCATTGAGTGTGGACTCCAGGATCTTTTAGGCTTCTACAGTTTGCACAGACAGGCCATCTTCAGTAAATCATGGAAGTTCTCTGTTTTCATATCTGGATTTTACTTTATTTGTAAGCCATCTGTTTTCAATCTGTGTATTTCACAGGCATGCTGAAAGGATAAATGAGCTATGTAAGCCTTGGTTCTTCAGCAGACAGGTGCTATATAAATTCAAAGTACTGTAGTGTATCATAGAAACACTAAAGCTTTAATAAGAGTTTACAGAAATGGTAGAATTCTCATCACTTAAGCCTTGCCACATTTTTACTTGTCTGTAAATGTTCTCCAGCCATCCACTTTTACAAGCTAAGAAGAAATAAAGCCAGACATAATGTAATGAAAAATAAGAGAAATGGTTGATAACAAGAGAAAACCTATAT